GTTGGCCCAACATTTGGAAGAGTAATTTGGCAATATTGGTTAACATTTTAACCCACACAATCCACAACCTAGTAATTCCACTTCCAGGAGCCTCTCCCATAAAATAATAGCACAAGCACTCACATATACATGCTCAAGGATGCTCATGGAAACACTGCTGCTAAGACTGAAAAAGAAATTCGAAATGGCCTAAACGTTTATCAATAAGGGAAAGTTCAAATAAAATATGGCATGTCCACGCTATGGAACACGCTGCAGCCATCTGACAGAATGAGGCACGTCTATGTATAACAATACAGAAAAAATCAAGCTGTAAAATGCTATTTCAGCATAAGCCCATTTCTGTAATTAATGATTTGTTGCTATATGCCCCAAAAGGCTGGAGGACAATACGCCAGGATTTACAGCAATCACCTCCCAGCGGTAGGACAAGGGGGCTTTCATGGCCTCTGTTTTCCACAAATGTATTGTTGGGTCTTCTATTGTAATCAGACAAACAAAATCAATAAAGAGTTAATGGGTTTTTTTAATCCTTCTCAGACCCCAATAGGAAATGCAGATCTAAGCAGGGCTGGTTGAAGTGGGAGGGGACCAACACCCATCCACTCAGCCCCATCCAGCCCCAGCCCCACCCTCGTATCCCCGAGGCCCCTTCTGGAAACACTAGGGCTCTAGGACCAGTTTGAGAACCTCAGCTGGAGACTGTGGAACCCATGCCTATGCTCCCCCAGGCCAAGGTCCAAAGGGGCAGAAGGTTGCTCAAGGTACACCGGCAGCCAGGGCCTGTAGCTCCTCCGTGCTGAGGAGGGTGTGTATTAGGCTGTGGACCCACACCTAATAGACCCACACAGTCCCAGGCGAGGGTCAGGGGTTTCTCTAGGTGTTCAGAAAACCCTGAGATGATCACAGTCCTGGGGAATCCAGAACTGGGGCTGAGGAGAGCCCTTGGGGTAAAGGGAACATAGACAGGGCCTTTGCAGAAAACTCTAGGAAAGGGTGGGCTTCAAGGCTCCAGCGCTGCAGGGAGGGAGAGAGAGAGGGAGGGAAAGAGGGAGAAGCTGGGGTGTGTTTCTCCCTCTATGTACAGAGAGTGGGGAGATGAGCCAATGGGGCGCGTGGAGGTGGCTGGGGCATGCAGGTATGTGGTGCTCACAGACAGAGGGCACATGTGGGTCTGCGGAGGTGAACTCTGGAGGGTGTGTGGGCTCCAAGTGGTATAGAGGCATGTCTGTAATCTAGAATCAGTCTATGTGTATGTGTGTTGTCACTCTCGGAGATGACAGCAAAGGGAAAGCATGTGTGTGTTTGGAGGGAGAGGAACACAGCAGACCCATGTATAAGTGTGCGTAGTGTGTGTGTGGTGTGTCCTGTGCCCCTGGGTGTTCCCCAAGGTGTGCGTGTATGTTTGTGTGTATGTTAGGAGGCATAGGCAGCCAGCAGGCCTGCAGAGGGGCCAGGAGCAGGTGGCAAACTGCAGAGATCAGGCCATTCTGGAAATACCCCTCCCACTTGTGAGTCAATCAAAAATGCAGAGAAAACTGCCCAGAAGGAGTACAAGGCCCCCTCCAGTTCCAGAAGGCCCCCTTCCCTTGAACGTTTGTTTGCACAGCTCGTGTTCCACCTGCCTCCAGGAGGCAGGGGCTCCGGGGACAAGCAAACTCCTCCTGATGAGTGGTGAATGACACTCTCTACCTGGGTCCGAGCTGCAAATAACACAGCTTCCTGGTGGTCTCCTGTTCTCACCTCCACACTCACCCATGTTCCATCTGCAGCTGCCAGGGGAGCACTCCAAAATGCAGATCCAACCATATGGCTGCCTGCTCCACACCCTTCTATGGCTCCCTACTGCTCCCTGCCCACACTCCTTACTGGGCCCGTCAGGCCCCCTGGGACCCATCCCCAAGTGGCCTTCAGCTTCACACCTGACCCCGGTGCCTCCCAATACTATCCTCCAATCAGATTGGGCCTCCTGTCTTCCTCAACAGAACTGAGCCTGCAAACCTTTGCACCTTCTGTTCCCCCGGGGGATGCCTGCCCTCCCTGACCAGTTCCCACTGTCCTCTAACAAGCTTCTCCCTACAGGGCTGGGGTGAAGTCCCTCTGGTACACCCACCCTGTGCTCACCTCTGTCCCACCCTCATCCCCTAAGCTGTGACTGCTGACAGGTCTGGCTTCCCCAGGGGTAGGGGATGGGTCTTGTTCTTCTCTGTACCCTAAAACCCAGCCTAGGCCTAGCACAGAGGAGGCATCAGGCACAAATGTTATAGACTGAGCCAGGAGTGGTGGCACACACCTCCAGTCCCAGCTACTCAGGAGGCTGAGGTGGCAGGATCGCTTGAGCCCAGGAGTTTGAAGCGGCAGTGAGCTAAGACCACACTGCTGCACTCCAGCCTGGGCCAGAGCAAGACCCCACCTCCAAACAAAACAAACAAACAAAAAACCTGGAGAAAAAAACCACGTTTATAGAATGAATGAATGGGTTCTCACAGTGATATAGTTTGGATGGCCCCTCCAAATCTCATGGTGAAAGGTAACCCCCAGTGTTGGAGGTGGGGCCTAGAGGGAGGTGGCTGGGTCATAGGGGTGGATCCCTCATGACTTGGTGCTGTCCTCGTGATAGTGAGTTCTCAATAGATCTGAGATGTGGCCGTTTGAGAATGTGTGGCACTCCCCATCTCTCTCACTCCTACTTTCACCCTGTGAAGTGCCTGCTCCCACTTCACCTTCTGCCATGAGTAAAAGCTCCCGAGGCCTCCCCAGAAGCCGAGCAGATGTTGCCACCATGCTTCCAGTACAGCCTGCAGATCCATGAGCCAATTAAACCTCTTTTCCTTATAAATTACCCAGTCTCAGGAATTTCTTTATAGCAACACAAGAACAGCCTAATACACACAGCTCTCAGCCCCTAAGCCACACACAGTGGGACCTTCTTAAGGCAGCAGGATAGAGCAGAAAGGGTGTGGCCTGGGTGCTGGGACACCTAGCATCTCATCCTAGGTAGCACAACAGGTGATATGAATCATGTCACCTGGGGAATGAGTAAAGCAGGAGTTCCCAACCAGGGTTCCCAGGAAGGGAGGACTACAGAGGTCTGTGAGCCCCAAAACTGCACAAAACTGGCTATGACAATATGCATGCAGGAGCGGCTGGTCCCCCGTCTCTAACACAGTGCCATGGCTTTCATCAGATTCCTCCAGGGGCCCCCAGCCCAAAGATCCAGAAGCACCAGGCAGGAACAGGGCAAGGCTCACCCCCATAGGAACGCAGACTCGGGGCACGATATGTGCCACACATCAGGATGGGGTGCTGGGGGCAGGGACTAGGGCAAGTCCTGTGGCCCCGGGCCCCAAGCCAGGATCCCTGGGTGAGTCACTAGCAGTTGATGGCCAGAGAGGGAAGGGAGCTGTCCAAGGCAGGCAAGCTGTCTGGGTAAGGGGTGAGCTCCCCATCAGGAAGAGCAAGAGCACAGGCTGGATGGGCAGAGGTCAGAGTGAGCGAGCGGCAACCCTGAGTCTCATTCTCAGACTCTCGGTCTCAGTTTCTCCATTTTACCCCCGGTGCTAGACAAGGTGGTTCATGTGAGTCTATCTGAGTCTGTGCAAGGATGTGCAGGGGTGCAGCTGGCCTGGGCCTGGCTCCAGGCTGGAGGGCTGAGGGGTCTGTGCAGTCCACCCACCCAGCAGCGGCCTGAGGCCCCCTTCTCTCGTCCTCCTGCTTCCCAGCTGCATCAGGCTAATGGCTGCCTGGGCTGTCCCACACTGCTAAGTGAGCCTGCAGAGTCCCAGGTCCCTCCTGGGTACTGCAGCTACCACCTCTCACGTTATAGTGACCACAGAGATGACAGGAGTGAAAGGGTTCATTATGAGCCTGGGGCCAAGGGAGGCCAGGGACTGGATGGGAGGGCTGAGCAGGGCTGGCAGCCAAGCCCAGGCCACATGGCCTCAGTGGGCCCCCCAACTGCCCCTGACTTCTCCAAGGGCCTCCCTCAGCCTGGCCTGGGTCACACAGGGAGTTGGTGGTATATTTGAGCCAGGATCCCAGGCCTCCCACCCTTGTCTGGGCTTACTCTGGGCACAAATGCACCTTGTCTCTCTTGGACTCTGTACATGCCCCAGCACCCCCTAATCCTGCCAGAAAGAGATGGCCGGCACTGGGGTTCCAACAGACTAATTCAAATGCAGGCCTGCAGTGTTCCCTGGATCCAGCCACCTGAGCCTCAGTTTCCTCCTCTCTAAAACAGAGGTATAAAAACTGCCCTCCTACTCCTGCTGGGAAGATTAATAAGGGCAGAGGTGCAACATCTGACGAGAGCAGAACAGAGACCTTCCACCCACCCTCCATCTCTGGGCCTCAGTTTCCCCATCTCTAAGCAGGAGGGTTACTCTGAGTGATTCCCCAGGTCCTCAGAGTCTCTGATGCTTTGTGGGAGGCCTGCCCAGGTGCCCAGCCCATGACTAGCTGGGCCTGCCGTGGAAGGACAAGCTGCAGGGCAGAGACCGGGGCCTGCCCTAGGGGGCTCTCTGCTAGTTGGCAGATGAGGGCCGTGGCTGTGGAGCAACGACACTGTCTACTTAGCAAAACCGTGTGGAAGTGCCCATGGCAGGGCTTCCAAACCGGTGGTCCCAGTGCCTCTGTGCTGCCACAGTGTCTACCACCCCGTATTGCATCACACCCAGCCAGCTCCACGCATTTCCTGCCAGGTCCCTGTAGGCCCCAAGGGCCACAAGAAGCTTATAAATGGAAAAAAGTGTGAGCTGGGCAGTGATCAAGGAAGGTTTGTTGAAGGAGACAGGACAAGAGGGTCAAGGGCACACAGGAGGCCTTGAATACCCAGATCACACAGACACCCAGTGCCACTGATGGTCTTCCATGTACCTCTGTCCTCAGGCAGGGATGCCTGACCCCACCCGGGGCTGACCTCAGAGCTGTGATCCCGGCAGAGGGCTTTGGCGGGAATGGGGACCTAAGCTTGAGGTTCCCTCTACCTTTCCTTGGCAGCCATGGACTGTGAGTCCATCCCGGAGAAATCAGTCCTGGTTGGTGATGCCCAGCGGCCACCGAGGCCTCACTGCAAACAGCGTTGCTGCTGGTGAGTGCCGTCTGACCATGTTGGGCTTCCCGGCAGATTAAGAGCAATGCTGGCCCCAGACTCATTCATATTCTGGTCTGGCTGCCGGCTTCAATATGGCTGAGAGACGCGAGGGCAGAGGCGGCCCTCTGAGAATGCCCAGCGATGATTCCTCTCCGATTCCAATTTATTTTCTATCATTAATGCTTTTGAAAAGCCCCACACGCTCTGCAAACAGGGAAGAAGCACAGGGCTCAGGAGGAGAGGCGAGGAGAGGGTCGGGGATAAAGGGGTACTCGGCAGAAGTGGGGCAGGCAGTAGTCTGGGTTCAAATCCCCTCCCCAGCTCCACCTGCCTTCAGGGCCCTGGGGTGAGCTTGACCTACATCTGTCCACAGGGGATGGGCATCCTGCTCTGCCTACCCCAGGAGACCGTTTTCAGATCTACCTAGGGGTCAGAGGTGAGTGGGCTTTATAAACTGTAAAGGGCTGTACACTTGAGGAACAGAGAATGAAGCAAACCTGACCACAGTGGCAGAGGCCTATGAACTGGACGCCTGCTTCCCCAGATACCCTAGGGGATCCCGACCCCCCGGTCCAGGGAAGACCTGGAGTGCCTCTCCCCACAGCACAGGCAGAGGAGGTGAGCGCCAGAATCTGGGTCTCCAGGCTTGTCTCAAACTCACACCACCATCCTCCCATCTCCCCCCAGGCTCGTGGTGACCAGCCTCCCAGCCAGCATTTCTCCTCCCCCATTATCCACACTGTGCAGCCAGAGGGATCTTCCCTGCCTGAGTCTCCTGCTTGGAACCCTTCCAGGGCTCCCCATTACCTTGAGATCAAGTCCAAACTCCCCACCTGCCATGCAAAGCTCTCCCTAGGAGCTCAGGCCCATCTGGGCAGCCTCGGCTCCAGCCACACCCAGCTTCTCAGAGGTCACCCTTCCCTGTCTTCGCATGCTGTTTCCTGTCTGGAATTCTCTCCTCCTTGGCCCAGTTCATCCCATCTCCTACCCCTCCTTCAAATGCTTCTCTTTCCTGCAGCTTTCCCTGAGTCCCCCAGCATGCCCTGCTCTGTGCTCCTCATACCCAGGACCCACCTGTAGTGCAACCCATTAATGTAGTTATTATGTTTGTGTGGTGGTGCCCCCTCTAATCAGTGAACTCTCCTGGGCAGGGGCTGCTTTGGATCCATCCTGTGCATTCCTGGTGCCTGGCAAAGTGCCTGGCTGCCAGTGGAGCTGTTTATCCAGTTGGCCAGCCTCAATGGAGCACCCACTATGTGCCAGGCTCTGTCCCGGGTGCAGCAGCCAGTCCTGGCCCTCGAGTTGCTTCAAAAGGATGTGCTCAGGGAACCTCTAGTGAATGAATGAATGGAAATATAATCACTTTGTAAATGGGGAAACTGAGGCCCAAAGAGGCAAAATTCCCTGTTCATGGGTGTTCCTGACTCCCTGCCCACATCTCTTCTACTCCATTTCTCTCCCAGGATCACAGCAGCAATGCAGAGAACTCAAAACGAAAGGTTACAGTCCAAACGGGGGGAAAAAAGGAAGAAGAAAATCTGGTGGATTTTCCCCTTTCCTCCATAATGTAAAGAAAATTGCTTTTGCCAACTATCGCAGCTTAAAAGCAATTAGAGTTTTTGGAGGGGACTCTGGGCACGAGCAGAAGCAACAGAGTGAGCGCCCGGCACGGAATTTTTCCAGCATTCGTTTGTATCAAGCAAAAGAAAAAAAGGCGTTAAAAGCAGCAATTTCCAGCAGCAGAGACGGTAAAGACAAAATATTTACAGTCTCTGAGGGAGGGGCCTGGAAGAGGCCAGGGACCTCCCCTGCTTCCCACCCAGCTCCACATTCTAGGAGGCAGGGAATGGGAGGGAAAGAATTGAAGATAAGGAGATGAGCCTTACCCATGCAGGCTCAGGGAAGGAGAGAAGCCCCCAGCTGCCCGCTGCTCACTCACCCCTTCCCCACCACCCACCGCCCCAGCCACCAGAGATCCATCCCTGTAAACCTCAGACCTGGACACAATTCTCCCCTGCTCAAAATCCAGAGAACATCCACCACTGCAGGCTGGCACTGGAGGCCTGCACAGCCTGGGCCCCTCTCCAGCCTCATCCGCAGATGCTCCCCAATGTGGCACACTGCCCCGACTGTCTTCTAAGCAGCAACACTCAGTCTCGCCGCAAGGCCTTTGCCCAGATATAAGAGCGTAAGGATGCACTCCTGTATCAGGACAAAGGCCTTGAGAGGGAGGTGAGGCAGGTTTCCGGATATGGACCCAGAGCAGGGAAGCTGAGCCAGGATCACACAGCCCTAGACCCGAATGCTGGCCTGCCACCCAGGCCTCTGCCGCTGAACCCCTCCTTCACCTGGACTTTTGCTGGACCCTTGACCTCCGCCCTCCAAATACAGAGCAGACACCTCTTCCTGAAACCGCACTGCCTTCGTCCCAGCTGTAGCACAGACTCCCCTCTGTCTGGCACACAGACACAGCCTCCTGTAGAAGCAATGCTCCTATGTTCAAATGCCAGGTCCTCCATTCATTAGCTGCGTGATATCCACCAAGTCCCTCAATCTCTCTGAGCCTCAGTTTCCTCATCTGTTAAACGGGGATAGTAATAGTGCACATCTCATGGGGTTATTGTTAGGATTAAATGAGGTAATATAAGTAAAGCATTTAGCACTGTGCCCAACACTTAACAGGTGTTCAGTGAACTCTCCCCTGCCCTGTTTCACGCTCAATCCTCAGGTGTGACTCCCTAGGCCTCAGATGGCCCATATATGCGCACTCAAGCTCCCACTCCACATGCAGTCACCTAACAAATGCTCACTTGGAAGACATGTGCCGGCTGGGAGCAAAAGGCACTGGAAGCTCTAATGAGCTTTGCACATGCATGGAGGCCCAATCCCTGAGCACAGGGCCAGGATCCTCCCATTTTGCTTGGCTTAGGAAGGATTCCTCCAAGAACGCTGGTAAGCCGCAGCCAGAGCCCTTAGAATCTGCCAGGCCAGGTGGAGGAGGTGAATGGAGGGTCAGCCTCCCAGAGGGACAAAAAGCACGAATCCCCTCCAGCCTGAGGCCTGCAAGTCAGCCCTCAGCCATCCTCCCAGCCCCACTGGACAAAGGCAAGCACCAAGACCCACAGAGCAGCAGGCAGTGATGAGGCTGGGAGCAGAAACCAGGCCTCAAAGGCAGCAGGATCCGGGGAAGCCAGGCAGTCCTGAGCTCAAATCTCACCCCAACTCCTAACCAGGCGGGTGACCACCCTAAGCCTCACTTTCCTCATTTGTAAAATGGAGTCGATAATGCCCACCTTGCAGAACAGCTGTACACACAAATGAGGGTAACGTTGTTCCAGGTCCCTCCGGGATCTAGCATAGTCACTGCGGGAACACACAGAGGCTATGCCCCCGCCCTGACTGGATTCCTGGACTGTAAGTATGGTGCCCTCCCCCTACCCCCGCAGCACTGGGAGAGCAGAGGGAAGGCCTGGTGTGCTGAGGGAACACCAAGGACCTGTGCTATCTCCTGTGACCCTTCCAGTCTACTTCCTGCCCGGCAGGGGGGTGAAGGACCAACCTACAGCCAGCCATGACCCGTCCTCCCCACCTCGCTCTCAGAGCAGAAGAGACCCAGCCCCTGCCTCATTTTGCCAGGGAAGAAACAGCTGCCCAGGAGAGGTGGCGGCGTGCCTCTGTCTCACAGCTCCCACTGAGTCACTCGTCCGACGTGAGGTCGTTTCCTCTCCTTCCCCAACTGCAGAGAACACACGGGCTTGCTGTGGGTCCGGTGGCGCTGCAGGGCTGGAGAGCCTGGATCAGGAGATATTCTGATGTCTCTGCCTTTCACTCCTGCTCTGGCTGCCTTTCTCCCAGGGGCCTCTCCCACCCTCCTCCCCCACTGACCTCAAGAATAAGCCCAACAGTAAGCCTGGCACTAATCGGGGCGCTCCTCCTTGCTGTGGGGGCAGGGAAGGGGACAGGAGACCAGTCTCAGTCCCAGATGGCTGAGCCTCAGGACACTCCACTGAGGCCTCCTCCCCAACCTGCGAAGCTCTTCTCCTCTCGGGTAAGTAACTAGGCACACACACAAACATACACACACATGCATACACATGCACACACACACAAACACATGCACATACATGGGTAATTAGGCTCACACACACACGCACACACTCAGACACGTGCACACTAACACACAGGAATCTAGGGAGGAGAGGGAGAGGTAGAGAGAGGGGGGCAGACCCTAGGCCCACCCCCCGGGATGACTGGCAGCCCTTCCACAGCTGATCCAGCCTCCTGGCTCTGTACCCAGGGGAGCACTAGTGGGTCCTGACCGACAAGCCCATGTGGCCTGGAAGCAGAGGATCCTGGTACTGGGAAGCCAGACACCTGACTTATTGCCAAGGCTCTGCAGTGCTTCACCGTGAGACCCGAAACAGAACTGGCCACTCCCTGTGCCTCAGTTTCCTATCTGGAACCTAGAGGAGGAATGAGATAATCTCTAAGCACGCCTTCTAGTTCCAGCATTCTGTGATCCATACCTGTGACCTCTGGGACCCCTCAGGAAGTCTCAAGCATCGGAGAGTGCTGGGGGAGGGATCACCCTAACTCCAAGGAGGCGGGGAAGCCCAGGGAGACCTGTAGCTACCCTGGGCTGGCAGGGGGCACTCATCCTGCTGCAGCCTCCCAGGGAGGAGTCCAGGCTCGGGCAGGAGGCCAGAGGACAGAGGAGAGCTCCTCGACATGGCCTCAGGCAGCCCGAGGCCCTCCCCGATGTCCACAGGTACCCCAGAAACTCACCCCCTCGAGTTTCACTTCCCATTTCTGTTCCGAGGTTACAGAGTCTTTGGTCTAGCCCAGATCTCAGGCACAGCCCCAAGCCCCCAACACACACCCCCAATTCCCACAGTTGTCCAGACCCGATCCCAACTCCTCTTGCCAGGCCAGCCTTCCCACCACCTTCCCAGTTGCTCCCACAGGGAGGCCGGTGGGGGCAGCCCAGCTGCTTGTGC